TGAAGTTATGCATGGATGTGAGCCATGAGGATCCTGGGAATCAATTCTAGGGTCTCTGAAAGAAACACAAATGCGTGTAACTATTGAGCTTTTTCTCCACCCCCAAAAAGGCTATTTAAATACTCACCTTAGCCATATCACGTGACCATGACATTTGTATCTAAATTCAGTGTTCTAATTTTGATCATCCAGACTTAACACAAACCTTTTAGTGAAAAACAAGCAGTAACAACCAAAGCAAATGCCCCAACCATGAGTTTGTGTTTCACCTCTTGTTTTCCCCAACTACCCACATATTTAAATTGCAGGGACAGCTTCACAGGAAGTAATCAGTAGGTTCCAGCCCCATCAGCAGCAGTAGTAGTAGCTCTGTCGCACTATGTTGAGCGATGCTAACATTATCAACCAGCTCATCTCCAGGTGTGAAGGAGTTCAGCAGCACCAACCACAGTTCTTTGGCCTTTGGTTGCTAATGAAGAATCTATCATTTACAGGACCCCAAGTTCATTTTTCTTTGGCATCTGGAATGAAATGATGCAGGCACCTCCTTTTCCTTGGTTCAGGTTGTATAATATTGAACAACCAATGGGGCACTAATGTGGGCATCTTGGGATAATATTGTTTGTGGTTAGTTTCAGTTGTCAGCTTGACATGATGTAGACCCACCTGGGAAGAGGTGATCTCAGTGAGCACTTGTCAAGGTTAGGTTGGTCTGTGGGCATGTCTGTGGGGCACTGTCTTACTGAGTGGGAAAACCTGGCCACCCTGGGTAGCACCATTCCCTAGGCCATAAGATTCGAGAAAGAGAGCTGGGCAGAAGCACGCAAGCCTTTGTTCTTTTAGCTCTTGGCTAGGACGTGATGAGCTGACTCCAGTTCCAGTCATCTTGACTCCCCTACACTGCTGGCATGTGTGCCAGATAAATGTTTTTCTCCCCTGTATGGCTTTTGTCAGGGTCTTTTATCACAACGACGGAAGGAAGACTTAAGACGTCTCTATCGTGATCTCTTTGACAGTGCTGCCTTCTGTTGCTGGTCACACTCACCCGAACTCTCTCGCTGATTGAACTAACATCATGATTCCCATGGCTCTCATGTTGCTTTATTATAGTTTTTTTGGAAGGTCTTGCAACTACTTCTAATTAAAAAAAAAAAAAAGAGAGAGAGAGACCTCCAAATTATGTGAATTGTTTTTAAAAACTTGGAAGCCATTCTTTGTCATTGGCATTTTAATCTGCATACAGAAGATAAAAATGGAATTATTGCTACCCAGTGTTGACTAATTTGTGCTAAGCAACACTACACACCCTTTTACTATCTCCCTGCCCACATAGGCACCTCTAATTAGTAGCATCTTGTTTTCTCAATGCAACTCCACCAACCTCAGCACACAGATCACTGCTACTCGCCATTCTCAGTGCCGAAGACTCCAGGTCTGGCTCTTCTTGTTTACCTACTTTACAGGAAATATCCACTTTTGTGGGTGTTTCTTAAGGTCTGCCTATAGCTATTTCCAAATTTTCTTTTTGGATGCGGTTTCTTCCTTTTACTTGCTATTCATTTTGTTTGGTTTTGGTTTTGTTCCCCACATGAGTTTTTGAGACAAGGTTTCTCTGTGTTTTCCTGGCTGTCCTAGAACCCTCTCTAGATCAGGCTGCCCTCAAGCTCAGAGATCCACGTGCCTCTGCCTCCCAAAAGCTGGGATTAAGGTGTGAGCCACCATGCTTCCCCACATGCTAGTCTTTGTGTTATCTAATGTATAGAGCGGAGGATAGCATCAGTTAGTGCTTAGTGACTGGTTATTGTGTTGCAGACACTGCCCTAAATACTTGACTTATTTATTGAATTCTTGCAATAACAGTAAAAGTTGGGCCCATTGCTACTCACATCTTACAGCTGGAGAAACCAGGGATAAGTAATAAATGGCAGGGCCTGGATAAGATTCAAGTCACTTTCCTTCTGATCCCAAATTCTTGAGCTCTGAGCTGGAACAGGCTAGGTTCATACCAAAATGATTCACAACGAGCATCATGATTCTGCCGGTGCTGATACCAGGCTAGACCAAAAGCTGCTTGTTTTGTGGTTTTGCAGGTTGAAACCAATGTAGTGTAATGTTTCTGGTCTCTTAAGGAATTTATGATCTTATGCCTATTAAATTTTTTTTTTCTGATAGAATTCATAAAGCTGGCTTAGATTTTTATTTGAGTCATTTGGTCTTATCTTTCTATATTCAAAAAACCTTTAATTTCAAGATAGTAGCTATCTGTGTGGGTTGTCTAAAAATCCCCAGATGGCATTCTTTTATCTGTCCTCAAACCATCTGTAGCATCAGCCCCCATCGAATCCAATTGGTGTCATCTTTCACTTTTGCGGGCATGAGTTATTGGAGTAAAACTTCATATTTATGTAGCATTTTGGGTAAATGTTAGAGTAAAACATTGGTTTATTTTATCACAACAGTCCTATGCAAAACAGCTTTAATTTTTTTTCTGCTCATTTTGATTCACTTTGTATGTAGCTTTGGCTTTGGGAATCAAGTTGATTTGAAATAAACAAGTGTTTATTGAGCATCCTATAATATACTGTGATCCTGAAGTTGTGGGGATGTTAGTGTAGTGGCACTGTGTTATGGAAAGGCATGATTCACAGGGTGAGTGCAGAGATAAGGAAGGTAACATTACACTAACTACAGACTCCTCCAGGCGGGACCCTGGTATCAGGTGTGCCCTTCACATCAGTGTGTGGGACAGCAGCATAGACCAACCTGTTTACTTATTATTATTAGATTTATTTTATTTTATGTATATTAGTGTCTTTCTTGCGTGTATATATGTGCACCATGTGTGCCTGGCACCTGTGGAGGTCAAAGGGAGGCATCAAATCCCTTGGGATTGGATTGTAGGGGCCACAGATAAGCACTAGGAAAACCAGGAATGTTGAAAATGCAGGGTTGTCTCTTTAGAGAAATAGATGTACAACTTGTTTTCCACCCAGAAGACTGGGAATGGGTGTGGTTAATACCCTCTGTGCTATCTGTATGGCTAGCGGTATCTGGCTCCACATCTGCCTCCCCCAGACTCCTATCTCAGTCATCCTCTCCAGACCCTTATACTGAGCATTTTTTTTTTCTGTTAGTCTGTAGAATCCACTTTTGTGGGAGTTGTCACATGTATTTTACAAACAAGAAAAGAGGTGGTTTGTGACCTGGTGATCTTTGCCCTGTCTGTATGACTGAGACCACACCTGATCCTTCCCCAAACCCTTAAGCTGTCACATGTAGTCTATCTATAGAACCCATCTTTATGAAAGAGGACACATGTACTTTACAAAGAGTTTTGATATAGTCATGCCTTAGCTTTATTGTACACAAGTGATTGAGTTAATTATCACCAGGAATTTTTTTTCCATATTGTACTGCACTTAAATATACCTACAATAACCTGCCTGGTGTCAGACTCTTGAAGTTTGAACCAATACTGGCTGTTGAGTTGTGTTGAACCAGACTTCCTTCTTGCCTCCTGTGGATTGACACTCTGCTGGCCTTGGTTGCAGAGACCCTCGTGTAGACGGAAGTTTCTCGATCCTTCCTGGGCAGCAGCTGCTTTTATGAAATAACCATTCAGAGGCTTAATATTAATTACAAACTGTCTGGTCTATGGCTCAGGCTTATTGCTGGTTAGCTCTGACATCTTGAATTAACCCATTTCTATCAATCTATATTTTGTCACGTGCCCGTGGCTTCACTGGTCTGCTGGTATCTTGTTTCTTGGGCGGCTGGATGGTGTCTGCTCTGACTCCACCTTCTTCTCCCTGTATCTTTGCTTGGATTTCCTGTCTGGCTATAACCTGTCTTACCATAGGCCAAAGCAGCTTCTTTATTAACCAATGATAGCAACACATATTCACAGCAGACAGAAAGACCATCCCACAGCACCCCCACCTGGGACTGAAGTTAGGAATGGTTGTGAGGCAAGATCAACAAGTACTCTTAAATACTGACCATCTATTTCTAGTCTCCCACCATGTTTACTTAATGTCTGATGCTTCTGTTTGCACAAAACATTTCATTCTTTTATCCACTGGTTTACTCATTTAAATTTTATTGAGGATCTGTATCCATAAAACATACTCACTTACCATGGTCTTCAGGATCACCGATGGCCTTTATATCCAGTGTAGGCCATTGGTTGATAGGGATTCAGTGGGCCACAGTTCATTGAGGGTACATTTAGTCAGCCAGGTCTCCATTTTAAGTTGACAAGACCTTCACACATCTTCCCCAGGGACTTACATCACTCAGGGTATGTCACCATTGATGAAGTCCTGCAACACTAGTTTCCTGTGTCTACTGCCATCATGGTGTCCACACTTTTTATTGCTACTGTCCCATCTTTAATTAGGCTCTATTTCTGCCAACACATGCCCATTCAACACCACTACCACCATAACCGAGTCATCGTACTGCTCAAGGCAGGCCTATTATAGCAAACGTATCCCAAGTCTCAGTGGTCTAACTACACGAGACATTTGCTTGGTAGTGGATGTGGAAGTAGAGGCTGTTCTGCTCTAGTCATGAACCCAGGCAGAAGGAGTCAGCATGTGGCTTATAGCAGTGTTTTGAGCAAAGGCAGAGAGAGTCGTGTGAAAGCTACACAGGTTTGTTTTTTTTTTAAATGAGCCAGGGCATAGAGGTGACATACATCATTCCTGTCCTCATTTCAAGGAGTAGAACTTGAGTCTATGGTCATGCCTAATCCTAGAGGAGACTGGGAAGTATATTCTGTACCTTTGCCTCATGGCCATCTCCATCACACTTAGCAAGTGACTTTCCTAGTATGGTACCTATGTGTTGAGCCAAATGATAGAAGGAGGCAGGGAAGAATAGAATGAAAGCATCCTCCTCAGGCTAGTGACTGTGGCATAGTCCTCGGCATTAACGTGGGCAGTGCCTGTATTCTGAATTCCTAACACCTGCTCGTTGCTGTTCTTCTGTTCTCCCAGGGACATAAATGGTCGACTTGATGCCATAGCTGATGTTCTCCATTCAGAATCCAGTGTGTTTGAGCAGATAGAAAACCATCTGCGGAAATTACCCGACGTCGAGAGAGGACTTGGTAGCATCTATCACAAGAAAGTAAGTGAAATTAAACCTCCCGAGACTCATGGTGTTCCTCAATATAAGAATGCTAGGTCCTGAAGGAAGATCATGTGGGGTTCTCATTAGTGCTTGTGAGTAGCATCTGTAGCCTCAGAAACTTTCATTGTACAAGTTGTTCCAGTGTTGGCCTTCATAAAAAGTGTTCACCCTTCTGTTTTGGTAGTATCCAGAGTATGTTCCAGTACCCTGGGGGTGAAGGCTCTGGGTTGGTACCAGCTTGACTTCTCCGTGTTCAATGAGTTTGTAGATGTTTTCTTCAGAAATAGGGCCTTACCATCAGTTTATGGAAAGCAACCAGTAGCTTTGGCAATTTCCTGGTTGTTTGGGTATGTCCATGGGATCACTTTGGCTGAGAATATGATGCATTTCCAGTGCTGGAAACTTCATTTGGTGATAAGAGACAGCCAGTTGGGACTCTGCCTCCTCCAATATTTGATGATTTCATTTAGAGCACCTTCATACATGTATGTATTTTAAGAAGCTTCTACTTTATTAGGCTTTCATACAACTCCTCAAATGGCCTTAGTTTTAGCTGTCCCTTCTCGTATACCCTCCCTTACCCTCCTCTTCCCCTTGACTCCCTGTTGAATCCTCTCATCCATCTACTACGTATCTTCTTCCTTTCCATGGTCTCCTTCAGTTGTCTTATGGCTAAAGCTCAACTTCTGTATTGATTAGATATGGAGAGTGGACAACCTTGTTTGTACCTGATTTTAGTGGAAATGCTTTGTGTTTCTATCCATTTAGGCTGATGTTTGCTGTGGCCTTGGTGTAAATATCCTTTATCATGTTGAGGTATGACTTTTGCATCCCTAATGTCTCCAGGACTGTGATCATGAAGGGATGTTAGATTTTATCAAAGGCTTTTTTGACACCTAGTAGGAAGATCACATGGTATTTTTCTTTAACTTTATGTATATGGTGGGTTACATTTACTTATTTTCATGTATTGAGCCATCCCTGCATCTCTGGAGTAAAGCCTACTTGATTGTGGTGGATGATCTTTTTGATGAATTCTTGGATTTGGTTTGTAAGTATTGTTTTGAGTGTTTTGAGTATGAACATATCCCTTTGTTCATAAGGGAAATTTCTCTTTGTTTGCTGAATCTTTATATGGCTTGGGTATTAGGGTGACTGTGGCCTCATAAAATGAACTTGGCAATGTTCTTTCTGTTTCTATTCTGTAGAATAATTTGAGGAGTATTGTCGTTAACTTTTCTTTGAAAGTCTGGTAGAATTTTCCTCTAAAATCACCTGATCATGGGCTTTTTTTGGTTGAGAGACTTTTAATGACTGCTTCTGTTTCACTAGGGGTTATAGGTCTATTTAAAATGCTTCTCTATTATTGCTTTAACTTTAGTAGGTGGTATATATCAAGAAAATTACTCATTTATTTTAGATTTTCCAGTTTGTGGGGTACTGGTTTTTAAAGTATGTCCTGGATTTCATTAGTGTCTGTTGTTATGTCCCCTTTTTATCTCTAATTTTTTAATTTGTGTCTTCTCTATCCACCTTTTAGTTAAATTTGGCTAAGGGTTTGTCAATCTTATTATTTTTGTCAGAGAACCAACCCTTTGTTTCATTGATTCTTTTTATTGTTTTGTTGTTGTTATTTGTTTGTTTCTATTTTATTTATTTCAGCCAAGACTTTGATTGTTTCTTGTTGGCTAATCCTTTGGAGTGTTATTTCTTATTTCTAGAGCTTTCAGGTATGTTACTAAGTTACTAATATGAGATCTCTCCACTTTTTTTGTAAACGTAAATATTTAGTGTTGTGAACTTGCCTCTTAAGCACCTTCATTGTGTCCCATAAGTTTGGGTATGTTGTGTTTTCATTCAGTTCTAGAAAGTTTTTAATTTCTTACTTAATTTCTCTCTTTACCCATTTTCCATTAAATAGTGAGTTGTTTCATTTCCATGAGTTTGTAAACTTTCTGTTGTTTCTGTTTTTGTTGAAATCCAGCTTTAATCCATGGTGGCCAGGTAGGATGCAGTGTTATTTCAATTTTCTTTTATCTGTTGAGACTTGCTCTGTGTCCCAGAAGGTGTGTATATTCTTTTGTGTTTGGGTGAAATGTTCTGTAAATATCTATTAGGTCTATTTGGATTATGGCATCAGTTAACTCCAGCATGGTTCTGTTTAGTTTTTGTCTGGCAACTTGTCCTTTGGTGAGAATGGAGAGTTGAAGTAATCCATTGTCATGGTGTGAGGGTCAATATAGGATTTAACCTGTAGTAGTGTTTCTTTTACGACCTTGGGTGTCCTGTGTTTGGTGCATAGATGTTAATTTAAGAATTGCAATGTCCTCTTAGTGGAAACTAAGGAATCCCTGCCACCATCCCCTAAGGGGAACATCCGTTTCGGAGACCACGCCATCTTATACTCCCTTGGCAGGACTTTCCTGATCCTAGAGGCCCCCAGGCAGTATTGGTGCCGCCTTAGTTCAGGAGGCTACATGGTTTCCTTCTCTAACAGTAGCTTCCTGGATGCTGACAGCCTGCAGATGTCAGTAGTGAATCAACATTCTTGTCCAGGGCTGCTTAGCCCACCTTGGGCTTTGGGCTGTTAGTGAATTTCTCTGTACAACTGCCCTGTCATATCTGGAAAACACAGTTTCAGTGTGGTCACCTCCCACGTCTGGCTCTGACACTCTTTCTGCCTCCTGTTCTGTAATGACCCTGAGCCTTGAGAGGAGAGGGCTGCAATAGCACTTTCTTACTGCTAGGAAATTATGCATAATGTGCTGTGTGGTCATGCTACAATTGCATAATGTTGTATAATGCAGTGTTGCTAAAAGAGGGTATCTTAGTTAGGGTTTCTATTGCTGAAAAGAGACACCACGACCACAGCAACTCTTATAAGGAACACATTTAATTAGGGTTGGCTTACAGTCCAGAGGTTTAGTCCATTGTTATTGTGGCAGGAAGCATGGTGGCACACAGGCAGACATGGTGCTGGAAAAGTAGCTGTGAGTTCTGTATCCGGATCCAAAGGCAGCAGGAAGAGAGAGAGAGACACTGGGCCTGGATTGAGCATCTGAAACTTCAAAGCCTGCCTCCTGTGACACACCTACTCCAACAAGGCCACACTTCCTAATAGTGGCACTGCCTATGAGCCTGTGGGGGCCATTTCTATTGAAACCACCACAGAGGGCTAGCAGCTTACTACCATGACAGAATTTGTGCTTCAATCCAGCATCCTGACTGTGTTTTAGTTGCTGTGTCCTTTAGTGCTCCTGTGTTTGATGTGGTTTTCTCAATTTGCCATTGCAGTTTTTTTTTTTTTTTTCTGGTTGACTCTTCACAAGCAAACTTCATTTGTATGTTACCTTTATGCCAAATACAAATTACCTGCTTAATCCATGATAGAATGAATTTTATATGCCCAAAGTTTAGTCTGACCAATTTTCATTAATGTTTACTTTTTAAGACTTGTCTTCCCTGGGAAATTGTGCCAGAATGATAAGTACTGCCTTTGAGGATATTTGTGGTACCCAAGAGGACTTACGTAATTGTTCCCTGTGCTGCAGTTAAATTAGAAACAAAATACAAACTGGATTTGGTAATGCAGATCCTGGGGAAGAAGATCCCTGAGTTGATTGTGCTCAGTGGAGTCAATTGTAACACTGTGTACTGTGCGGCTGCTGCCGTTTTGCTGGCTGGCAGTGAGAGACGCCATGTTGATATTGGAAAATTCTGTGCTGGGTCTTTGGTGCTGCAGAGAGGTACAAAACCATGTGTTATTTTGTATCCTTGGCCCAATGCCTGGCAGTCAATGCTATTACCCTCTCCAGTCAGCTGATCTCCAGGCGGGCACTTTGCCTTCACTGTTTGAAAGGATTCATTGACAGATGTCAGAGATTTTTTTCTCTTTTTCTCTCAAGAGAAAGTAAGAGCAGAACAGATTTTTGTTTGAGCTGTTAATCAAAAAAGCAAGGTCAAAGTGTCCATAGCAGGCGGTGGCCACATCCTGTCGAGCTGTGGTGATTTCTAGGCCGTCTCATTGCCAGTCTTTCAACTTCTCTTAGATGTTTCCCCCTCATAAGCTCTGCGTAGCTCTGCAAGTTTCCAAACTGGAGAAAAAGTTATAATCACATTCATTTGAAAGTAATCAATGTGCAGCGCAAGGATGCCTTCCGCTTTGGAATCTCCGATTGTATTTCACTAGAAGAGCTTGTGACTCACTCGGAAGCTGCTCCTTGGTGCTTCCCTAGGTGTTTCCCAGGATTGCGGCTCAAGATTGGCTCAAGTCCGAGTGCTTCCAGCCACGCTTTTCTGAGCTGGCTCTGCACCCACCGTCAATGCATGACGTTCGTTAGTTTAGTTTAGTTTTCGTTTTCTGTAAAGCAGAGGTTGCTCAGGTTTTTCTCCTTGGCTCTTTAGTTTTTTTTCTTCTTCCTACATTCCTCCAAGCTTCTGCTGTTCGCACCAGTGATGAGTGACATCCTGGCTCCTAGTTCTGTGGGGCAGCCTAGGCCCTGGGGTTGTAGGATTTTCATGGAGGTGCTTTATGGTGACGATGGGAGATCCCACGTGGGCTTAATGTGGAATAAAATAAATATTTCTTTTCATATTAAAACTTCCAAGTCAAATCTTAGAAAATCGTGTCACAGGAATCCATATTAGATGCTAAAGTTGGTAAATACATTTAAGAATAAGGATGTTTCACCAGTGTTGAGAAAAGAGAGTTTGTACAGTCTTATATGTAAATAGTTTCCTAGCCAGGCTGAGCTGAGCCCAAGCCTCACGTTACACATGGACCTTAGGCTCTGGTCCCTCAGTGCTGTGTCTTGTGCCCGTGGCCTGTTCTTTGAAGCATAATTGCCTTAACCAAAAGATGCTCATTTTTTATTAACTTTTTTCCTTTAGTTTATTTCTTTTTCTACCTACATGCTTCCAAGATTTAATACAGGTAGAATTTTTAACTTGGTTGCTTTTTGTTTAGTTATTAAATTGATCCCTAGTTTTGTGCTTTTTAGGCTGATAATGACTGTGGTAAGTACTTCACAAATGACCTGTCCTTTGTATGTCTCAGGAGAAAGAGAATAATAATTTCTTTCCTATTAAGAAGTTCAGTCTAGAAGCCTGGCTTTCCAAGGGTGTTTATTCATGCTCTAAGAACCTTATTAATAGCTGTGAGGTTATACCTATATGATCTTCAAAAAGGTTGCTTCTACTAATAGTAGAGAAAGATTTTTTTTTTTTTTTTTTACTTCTTTGACATTTGAACAAATGACAAATAATGCCTTGTAGTTTTAGTTTATTTTTTTGATGGTTATCAAACTTGGGGGTTCACAACTGTTAACCCAGCCCAAAGATGGAGTCACTCGGGATACCAAGGAACGACCTTTGTGGAACCTAGCCCCTCTGGGGAAATGGAAACTGTATGGATGTTCTGAACCTCTTGCCTGCAACAGTTCCTTTTTCCTTAATGCTTTCTTGCCCAACTAAAACTGCCCTATAAAACCCAAGCTGCCTTTTTGGCAAAGCAGCTCTCCCCTCTCCCGGAGTGCCTCTCTTGGTCTGATTCTCTCCTTAAGCCTCATAACAGTCAGTGCCCCAGTGTCAGATGGCCACCTGTCCTCAGTAAACCAATTAAAAGGGCCAAATTAAAATAGGGTAAAGGGGCTGGAGAGATGGCTCAGAGGTTAAAAGCACTGGCTGTTCTTCCAGAGGTCCTGAGTTCAATTCCTAGCAACCACATGGTGGCTCACGACCATCTGAAATGAGATCTGGTGCCTTCTTCTGGCCTGCAAGGATACATGCAGGCAGAACACTGTATACATAATAAATAAATCTTAAAAAAACAAAACAAACAAACAAAAAAACCCTAGCCCCCCCCCCCCCAAAAAAAAAAGTGTAAAGAAAGAGGAGTCTGGATTTTGTTTTCCTCTCTGGTCTGGACTCCTTTAGATGCTTCTGGATGTTTTCTCTCTCTTATCTACGATAAAAACATTTCCCCAAGTCACAGAGTGACCATTTCACAGGTTCTTTACTGCACCCTGGCTCACAGCACTATCTTTCTTTTTAATCCATGTCTGGACTCTGTGTAGCTCACACTGACCTTGAACTTGCAGAGACCCTCCCACCCCAGCCTCCTGAATGTTGGGGTCACAGGGGAGCCACCACATCCAGCTTTTTAGATTAAAAAATATTTCTTTTTCTAGTGTTCTACGCAAGAGTTCTTCTTGATTGTCAAAAGCCTGAGTCACCTGAAGTCAGAGCTTCAAGCATTAATGCCTGCTGTTAATTCCCACGTACAGTCAGACTTACTCCGAACACTCATCTTAGAAATTCCTGAGCTCCTCAGTCCAGTGGAACATTATTTAAAGATACTGAATGAACAAGCTGCCAAGTAAGTGCAGACTCCCACTTCCTCCCACCAGTGACCATCAGCCAATGTATTTGCCATTTGGTGTGGGAAGTTGCTTGAGTACATATGTGACTGGGAACATTTATAGTTGTCTAAACTCAGGCAGTTCACAATCTAAGACAGATGAAGTACTTCCCCAGGTATCAGATGACAAAGGATAAAACTAAAGCCAGGTAGTAGCAGCAGTTTATTAACCCCAAAGCAGGTGCCAGATGGCCCTTGTCCCCATTTCCTAGAAGCCAGGGGTGATTGTGTTTGTGTGTAGAATCTGCAGTTGTCCTTTTAAGGGTGTGGTTTTGTGGTGTATCTTACAGGAAGCTGAGTTTACCTTTGTTGTTATTTTCTGAGTAGGCAAATGACATGATAGTTTATTTCTTGGTTTTACCATACAAATTGTGAATAAAGTAAAAATGATTTTGTCGGAAGTTAAGGAATGTCTCTATAAATATTCAGTGGCAGAGCTGGAATTAGAACCTCGTTTTCCTGAGTTCCAGTCTGTTGATATTTCATCATGCTATAAAATTGATAACTGGTCTAATTAATACGCTTCAATATCCGGATCTGCACTTTTCATATTTTAGAGTTGGCGATAAAACTGAATTATTCAAAGACCTGTCTGACTTCCCTTTAATAAAAAAGAGGAAAGATGAAATTCAAGAAGTTATTCAGAGTATCCAAATGCATTTACAAGAATTACGAAAAATACTAAAACTTCCTTCTTTACAATATGTGACTGTATCAGGACAAGAGGTAATGTCAAACATATTTTCATTTTATATCAGTTTTCCAGGAGTAGAAAAGCTATTTCATAATATAAGTAAAATCTCTGGATAGGCTGTTATAAGCAATGGTGCAGAAAAACTACCAAACTAGACCCCTCCATGGGCACAAAGAAAGATTTGTTGGTATTCAAATGGCCAAGGTCGGAGAAGAGCAAAATGGCCCAAAGTAAGCAGATTTTATATGACATCAGCAGGGTGGGAGTCTGAGCTGACACCGGCTGTCAAGGTTGATGGGAACTATGTGCTGTCCCTTGTTGGAAGTGGGTGATGTGTGGGGGAGGTTAAGGGAGGTTCCTGGAGGATTGAGGGTGGTCCTTGCTGAACAGAAACCCCCTTAAGAGATCTGCTTTTCAGTAAACAGAAACCTTTAGGCTTGTTTCCCTGGCAACAGTCCTTCTGTTTACCTGGCCAGAGTCCTTCTGTTTAGGACAGTGTCACCAGCACTGCCTTTGGGGCAAGAGGGAGCGGCTTTGGACTTGACAGTTGTAGATATCGTTATTAAACACCTTCTGTCTTTTCCCTTGGAAATATGCCATAATTACCTGTTTCGACAAGAAATTGGGATAACGTTTTATTAATCTTTCAATAAATTCAAGCAGCTTGATGTTACGTGTGCCCTGTTACCTGTTGAAGTTACTTTACAGACATCATTTTCAAATCATGTGTCTTAATATTTGCATTGCTTTGTGTATGTTAGTGAAAGATTGCCAATTATATAGCTATTTGAAATAGGGAATTAGGATGAACAATAGTGTGCTTATCAGAATGCTCCAGACCATGTACATTTTGTAGATTTAACCCCTGACTTAAGTTAGCCCATCCATCTCTGGCTAAAGTTCTGAGGATGCTATGCTCAGCAGAGATTTCACAAAACCTGTTTCACTCAGAACTCTGCACAAATGTTTTCGAGTATTTAAACAGACATTGAATATTTAATTGTATCTCTTGTTTCCGCCATGTGACACTTCCTCCAACAAGGCCACGCCTCCTCAAAGTGCACTCACTTTGAGGGCCATTTTCTTTCAAACCACCACAGGTCCAAAGGGAAAAACCCCAAGCATCCCAAAAAAGGCAGGCCCACTGACTTGATCCATAATGACAGTTTTGGCTCTGCTCAACTGGACTATAGGGTTTTTGGCAGAGAGATAAAAGTCCTCTCTTATCATCCCACAGGAACCTGTGAAATACGTTTCTGTCTGCCAGGAAGAGCCACTTGGCTTACTGACATGTGCCTATGGTGTGTACCACCAGACCCCACCCTCCACACCCACCCCGACCCTAAACTTCCAGGCTGATCCAGTTCATAGGCTCCCCTCCTCCACCCCTGCAGCTCCTAGTTTCTACTAGTTTTTCTTTATAACCCAGGGGTGTTTCTCTGTGCCTGCTCTTCTCTCTGCCCCCAGTATGTATGTTACAGCTTGGATGGAAAGGTGTCTTGGCAGTTGGGAGCCAAGGACTATCACAAAGTCATGCTGCACAATGAAGCTCACACAGGGATTTATTGGAAGGGGGAAACCCAGGAGTGTTGCTGCCTGTGCTCAGGAGAGAAGAAGCGGAGAGCTGGGCAGAATGGGGGGGCGGTTAAGGGTTTAATATAGTTTCTTGGTGGAGGAGCAGGGGAGTTTTCAAGGGTGTCCTGGGATTGGAAGGATTATTTTGAGGCAAGCTCAGGGATTGGTGGGATTTTGTTTTCTTGTAGGGTTGGGGACCTGGCCACTCTCCTGCTTCATAGCTGTTTTCAGCAAAAAAAAAAAAAAAAAAAAAAAAAAAAAGCCCCTAGGGAAGTCTGGGGATGGGGCCTGGCTGCTGGATCTCCTCAGGTAGGGCCTGGTCACTTGCACGCCTTGAGGGTTTAACAAAGTTTACATAAATATATACTTTGTATATACTAAGTTATACAGAGTTTACATAAGTATATACTTTGTATAAACTCATACAAAGTTTACAAGGGAGTATCTACCCACAGCAGGGCCGGTAGACTTGGGGTGAATAGCCAACACCCACCCTTGCCAGTCTGCCCTCTCCTCTCTGCTCCAGAAAGGCAGTCATGGCTGCTTTGGTCCTTGCTCCCGTTTTTATAATAAAAACCTTCTTCCCGCCCACGGGCCTGTCAGATTGGTGGTTTCTCTGTGCCCTCGCTTACAACATGTCTGTCTCTCTGTTTGTAAATAAGAAACATTTCAAGTTCCTAAGGGAAAGTAAGGACAAAGTGAGGGAGAGGAGGAGTGGGTTACCTGTGATGCTGAGGTAAATAGGAGGCAGGTGCTAGAGTGAGCTGAGAAGTCTGCAGCCTGCCTGGCAGTGATGGTGTGATGGAAGTCTAGCAATTGGGAGGCAGAGGCAGGAGGAGCGCAGTTTAGTGTTCAAAGAGTTTGAGATCAGTCTGGATTACATCTTGTACTGTCCAGTTTTGTGAGTCAACTTGACGCAAGCTAGAGTCATCAGAGAGGAAGGAGCCTCAGTGGAGGACATGTCTCCATGAGATCCATCTGTGAGGCATTTTCTCAATTCGTGATCAAAGGGGGAGGGTCCAGTCCATGGAGGTGGAGCCATCCCTAGAATGGTGGTCCTGGGTTTTATAAGAAAGGCTGAGCAAGCCATGAGGATCAAGCCAGTAAGCAGCACCCCTCCATGGCCTCTGCATCAGCTCCTGCCTCCAGGTTCCTGCCCTGTTTTGAGTTCCTTTCCTGACTTCCTTCAGTGATGAACAGCAATGCTGAAGCGTAAGCCAAACAAATCCTTTCTGTCCCAACCTGCTTTTGGGTCATGGTGTTTCATCACAGCAATAGAAACCCTAAATAAGACACATCTATCTAAAAACAAAATAAAACAATCAAAGGCAAAGAAAGAAGATTTTCAGCAAGCCTGGTAATGATGCCAGCCTAGGCTGGTGTCATATAGTTTGAATGACAATGTCTGACATTAACCCAGACAGAAGAAGGTCCTGGGAGAGTAATATGAGAAAGTACTAAAAGGACTGAAGGCAGAATTCTTGTGTTAACTTCTGGGAGGTGGAGTCGGAAACTGCAGAACAGGGGATTGCTGTGAGATCTTGCGGAGCTTTCTAGAACAAGCGTTATTTTTTCCAGTGGTTTTCTTTAGCAGTAAAAACAAAGGGCCTGCCTGCTCCTTCTTAGGATGTTTGGAAAATAACCAGAGAGAATTTCCTCTCCGAAGGCTAGTGCGGCCCAGGCACAGTATGAAGAACTTAGACACATGACCACAGGTGTTTAACCTGCAGGAGGTCCAGGTGGGCTTTCCAGACTCTTGCTGCACCTCCCATTCCCATGGCTGTCACGATGGAGCCCTGCCAGTCCCTAGAGTGGACCTTTGATAGCTACACCGTGATTCTCGTGGTACACCTTGTTTTTATGGGCTTTTCAAAATGTTCACCAGCCCTTCACCACCAACTCCCACGGGTTAGGATCTTTTCTTCTTGTAGCCTTGAAATTTGATATTTGCCTTTGACATAGCTCTCTCAGAATTATTTCATAAAATGCCAGTGTGCCTTCACAGAGCATTTTTGAACTGAAGAATTATTTAGTATACTTAGTAATTTTATTTTTTTCATCAATAATATATCTAAAGTTTGGCTTGTTTCCAATTTTTGTAACTACAGGGATATTTTTAGATTGTTAGTTCTCAACTATAAAATTGAGTATGGGAGATTTGAAATGGTATTAATCAATTTCTATATATGAAGATATCATATATTAGTTTCAAAATTTGCTTGGTATGGAAATTAATAAATATTAACCATTAATATAAAAACTAAATGTTTCTTTTCATGTAAAAATAAATCAAAGACATGGCAAATATAAAGTTATATGCATATCATAAAACAGACAAATGAAAAACCTCATGAAACTATCACAGAATTAATCCAAGAATTTCTGGATCTTACTGTGTAGAGTATAGATTTTTGAAAGTGTATCTGAACAAACTACAGATTCGAGCACAGGACACACCTACAAAGGAGGTGAGGCTCAGGCCCGAGAAGTTTGCTTCCAGGGGGAGCATGGTTGGATATATGGAGGCAATCTTGCTGTAAGGCTCAGGAATGTTGCAGAAGAGGGGGCGAAAAGAACAGGAGTGCTGTATGGAAAGACCAGGCCAGAAGTGCGGTGTTCTGGCCGGTCAGCAGCCAGCCGTGGATGGAGGTGTGGCTCATAAGGCCCCAACCCTCCTTACTGAATGATTGGCAGTTGATGGCTTCTTGTGGGAGGGACCAGACATCAAACCTGTTCTGCTCCAAAGGGTAGTTCCAAACATGTGGTGGGGGAGGAGACAACAGGATCCCTGAGGCTTGCTGGCTAGTCAGTCTAGCTGAAACAGAAGAGTCTCAGGTTCAGTGAGAGACCCTGCCTCAGGGAAGTAGAACAGAGAGTGTGATAGGGCAGAATGCTGAACCAGCATCCTCTTCTGGCCTCCACGGTTGTATGCATAGGCTCATGCATGCACACTGCCCCCTCCATCCCGTACACCCCCGACTCCCCCACCCCAGCACAAACATCCCACACTTTTATCAAACTTAATCTTACTGAGTAACAGAGTTCTTAAGATACATGGATAGTAATGAATGAAAGAAGTTACTAGAAAACACCCAAACTCTCCCAAGAATAATACTGGATTTATTTTGAATGTTTAGAATAATGTTTATTAAATTGTCACACACAATTTCCAAGAAGCCTCATGATATGCTGTGGGTGGCTTCCCATTTAAATATCTCACTGTTCATTTGCATTTATTTTAGTTTATGATTGAAATGAAGAACTCGGCTGTATCTTGCATCCCAGCTGACTGGGTGAAGGTTGGAAGGTAAGTTTAAGGCATTTTTTTTTTTTTTTTTTACTTCTAGCATGAATTATGATGCGTATCTGAGATGCTAGACCACTGCCACCATGTTCTTGAAGCAAGAGTACTTTTCCCCCATCGATTTTCTTATGAACGTTGAACCAAAGAGATGTTTGTCTTCAGCTATTTTTGTCATTCATTTAAAAATATTGAAGACCATATTTTAGTACATTTCCCCTTTGTCAATTACTCTTTCGCCCCATGACTGTGAGTCTCAGGTTGAGAAATGCTCAACTGGAAGATGAATGTGGTGCTTTTGGCTTTTTGATGAATGCTGTACCTGACATTTCTGTTAAGAAGCTGGAATCTCATTTTCTCCTTCACCGAGCTCCGTGTGTCTTTATTCTCAGTGTTTTCCTTGGCATGCAGTTATAATAGTTACTTCTTTTTGTAACTTATATCATGAGCTGATGAATATAAATGAAAACAATATTAGAGAACCACATTCTGTCCTTCTCAGTCCCTTGGAGGGGACAGGTTCAGGAGAAGTGTGCGCTTTTGACTATAGCGTACTGCTTCTTCCTTACTGCTCTTCCTGCCTCTGTGTGACTGGGGATGAAAATATTAACATTTACTCAAGATAATATTGGGGAGACTCCTGGCTGGTGGTGAAGTGGAGGAATTCTTATGTTAAGGATGAGGGAAATTTTGACATGGTGACATAATGGCTAATAGTTTCTTATGTTAATTAAATAATGTAACTATTATCCATTGCCATGGCAACAGCTACTTTAAACACAAGCATGGGTTTCTTGAATTCAAATACCTTGTTCTTTCCCTTATGCCACTGAAGCTGTAGATGTGAGTAGTCTTGACTTGGAGGATGTTTCCCATCCTTGGAGCATCCTTCCCTGTGTTGAATTTTGCCCTATCGTACAGTTAATGAATGAAAGTGCACTTTATAAAAAGACATTGCTAATGCCCATATTATTCTGTAGAACAGAAACTGAGGTTCTGGCTAAACAACTGTAGAAGAAAAAGCTGCGGTAAAATGTTTGCCTAGAACTCTAGAACATGCAATTGAGGAGCAATTGGCAAGGCAAAATATGGATGCTAGCATCTTCTAAACATGCAGTAATAGAATTGGTGAGGGCCTGTTACCATTTGGTCTGTTGTTTGGCTGCCAGAGCCTTGGTATAAGGATGAATTAGAGTCTCATCAGTTAGACCTTCAGTATTCAACAGTTAAGTTAAAGATAACTATGCCAGTGTGATATAGGAAAGCCAAGACTGGAGTACTCATGGCCTTGAAGAGCTCTTCTAAACCAGATTTCCCGTTGTTAGCTTTCAACAGAAGTAGCATCTACTCTTGGATCCCTGTAAAGGGTACTCTGCTAACCATTGTGTGAACTCAGCCGTGCCTGTGAGGAGGCACTCTACAGTCTTTGCTGTAGTGGAGCCCACGTAAGGTCTGTTCCATTTGGACAAGACATCAGATGCGTGGTCTGGTCAAGGCCTGGCCTAGTATCTCTGACTGAGGAGCTAGCTCCCAAATACTGTCTACCCCTACTTGATGGAGAGGACAGCTTACGTTCAAGCCTAGGGGAGCTTGTGAGACTTCTTCCCATTCAGGGCCACTAAAATTTTGAAAATTTTAAAATTTTGAATTCATGCTCTGACCTTCTTTGTGATGCATTATATATTTCTTTTTGTACTGAATTATGCTGAACAGAAAAGTATAAAATCTTGGAAGTAATACGACCTCCACCAATGCATCCATCTTACTTTCTCACATCTTTTTTTTTAACTGCATTTTCGTCCAGTGTTTTTAAGCAAACATTTTCATTTAGCATGAGGGAAAGAAAAAAAAAAAGCCTTTACCAGTGAAGTAAGTTTCAACTCTGACTTTGTCATATAGTTGAAATTTTAAGAACATTTTAAAAGCTTCCTGAACAGAGTCCTATTGTTGAGAGTCAAGTTCGGGACCATAATTAAAGAATGCTTTCTGTTTACAGCTGTTCATGTTCAAGGCTCATCGGTGAATAATAACTGCTTTAATTTTCTGAAATGATGGCAGCACTGATTCTTATAACCTTGATTTCCTGTGTGTCGTTTTTTCCTTTCCTCTTGTAGCACAAAAGCTGTGAGCCGTTTCCACCCTCCTTTTATTGTAGAAAACTACAGACGTCTGAACCAGCTCCGGGAGCAGCTAGTCCTTGACTGCAGCGCTGAATGGCTTGATTTTCTAGAGTAAGTTTGCAGTGAACAGTACGCTCTGAATCTGTGCATCCAAAACAGTAGAGATTGCTGCTGTGACCTGCTGGAAGAGTGGGGATTTTCAGTCCTTCGGGACGTAAGCTCGAATAGTCTGATGAGGGAGACCCAATATACTTCACTGTTGCAGGATTGCATTTTATGGCTGATGACGCTTGGTAGAGCCATTTTTTTTTAAAAATTCCTCCTTGGAATTTACCCTTCTCACCTTTCTGCACTGCATAGGTACTGTTTTGACTTTATTATCTTCATTTATTTTTTTCCTAAATTTTTAATATTTTGTGTATTTTCCTCTAGGTTTTCTTTTTTTTTTAAATTGTAATGACCATTTATGTACCCTCATCTAGATTTAGCAAATTTTTGCTTCATTTGGTTTCTGTCTCTAGTATGTGTGTATATATATCTATATGAAAATACATATACATACATATTTCTGTTCCAGAGTTATTTGGAAGTTTTTCATAGTATTTCATCCCAAGTACTTATATATGCATGAAAATAACAATATCCTAACAAGGAATTTTAACACCATTAATACATCTAGGAAAATTTAACTATTTAAGAACATATTTGATGCATGCATGTAGTGCACATACAGACAAATAGTCATACATATAAGGTAAAAATAAATAAATCTTCCTGAAAAATAAATATATTTGAGTGTCCTCAGTGTTCCCTGTCCCAATTCTTAAAGAAAAGATCTAATTAACTCTTACACATTGCATTTGGTCACGCTTCTTTACTCAGTTTTAATCTAGAATAATCTGCCATGCTCTTCATTTTTAAGATACCGAATTTCCTTTGGAAGAGTCCTGGCCCTTGTCTTGAAGAGCGGCTCACATCTGGATTGATTGACGGTCATGCGTTCATATTGGCGGTGTTAGGCACTGGTGGGCAGCAGGCTGTGGTCAGCTCTTGGGGAAACAGTAGTGTTTGTAGTTTGTTGTTTCCTGCAATGCGATCACGCCCAGCCCAGCTCATTTCTACCGACTCTGCTCTGAAGTTGGGAAGAGATGTGCATCAACTTCCATGCGACTTTGAGACTTTAGATGAAGTCACTCACTCCTCCTTCCTGAGCCCTGTGGCGTTAAATAGCATCGCTGCACATAATTTACAAGTGACTAAAGCGAGATGCACATTAAGAAGTCAGTTTATCCAGCGGGAGGGAGGATATGTGCATGGATTGTGCTAGACTGTCATGTACTCAAGCATGTGCTTTGACCTACCAGGGTCCAGCTGATGGAGGGGCATAACCACTGTGCGTTCGAAATTTGCACAAACTCTTACACTACTAGTGGAATTCATTTCACTTATTTTGATGAACTTTAACTCAGGGGAAATGGGCTAATTAATATATATGTTCTGTCTACTCAGATAAATATGTATAAAGCATACTGTGAATGCAATTCTTAGTTTACAAATAATAATAAAAATAAAGTTGCATGAAAATATCATTAATAAGCCAGGTAGTAGTGGTGCATGCCTTTAATCCCAGCACTTGGAGGCAGAGGCAGGTGGATCTCTTGAGTTTGAGGCCAGCCTGGTCTATAGAGTGAATTCCAGGACAGCCAGGGCTACATAGTGAAAGAAACCCTGTCTTGATAAACCAAAAAATAAATAAATAAAAATAAAAGAAAGAAAACATCAATAGAGTTCTTTTGATAATAAAACAAATCAGAAAACAGAGATTTTCTTTTTCTAAAAGTAAGATAAAAATATGTAGGAAGAACTGATCATTATAGTGATCTAACCTGATGCCCTTTATAAGTTGGGAAATACTGCAAATATTTTTAAGTAGCAAGTAGATTGACATTCAGCACTTCTGAAATCCACATTATATTACATAAATATTTTTCAAGAAAGGTGTTCAGTGTGACTCTTCCCTCTCCATCTTCCTCTCCAGTTTGTGTAAGGGGTGTCCCAGTTGCATCATGACTTTATGAAAAAGGCAGGCAATTTACTCTTTTTTTTTTTCCCTCTAACTATGTACAGAAATTAGCAACAGTGCTATAGAACCTTGAAGAATAGCATTGTAAAGTGGGGTCATAGTTTAGAATTGGAGGTGGAGGTCTGTGCGAAATCATTTGCTGGGCGTGGGTTAGGCCATGGATTCCACCCCAGCACTGTTAAACCAGAAAGCAAAGCAAACCAAGAATGTGGTTGGAATCTGGACTCTGCTAGTCACAGCTGTGTGAGCTTGAGGTGGCTGCTTTGGTCCTCTGAACTTCCTTTGTGAAGTTTAGGTAATGAAGCTGTGTTGAGTGAGTAGTGAGGCGACAGTGTGAGGTGTCCCTCCTGTGTCTGGGCAGTGAGGAGCGATTCCCTTCAGCATTTCTCTTGGACCTTCGGTAGACTTAGCTGTCAGTGCCTTTCCTCATATCCTGACTTCAAGGAGTCTGTGCCCTGTGACTGCCTACTTTTGAATTGAGCAAAGCCCCAGTTTCTCTCAGATGACTACCTACTCTAAAATTTAAGCTTCGTTACATAGCCTTTCTTTACTTAGAAGATATTTCATACTGAGCATTTAAAAATTAAGTCCTGGGTTCTTTTGTAGTATTTGTTGTTGTTTTATCTATTTAGTTATTTTGAGATGGGACCATGAATGCCTCTGAGGCCGAGAGGGACCTTGGACTTGTGATCCTCAGTAGTTTTCTGAGTGCTGCGTTGTTGGCATATGTCCTCATGTCTGGCCAGTTATGTTCATTTTCAACACCCACAATTTATCACTAGATATAAATGTCCATAGTTTGTACAGTATTGTGCATATTGGAATAAAATGCTGAGATATGAGAAAATGGAATAATATAGGTACAAAGAGGCTGAAAAAACCCAACTCTATAAACATTTCTATTCACTTTGTGAATAAATCTTTTAATAAAAGTCTTGATATTTTCCATCGCTAAGTATTAATAAGATAGCTGAAGGAGTACTCACTTCTGTCTATTGCAATGCCTATTCTGTGCTGGGAGTGTGGACTAGATATTAGGGTTATAAAGCTGTCTTAGAGTTTCTATTGCTGTGAAGAGACACCATGACCACAGCAACTCTTTTTTAAAAATAATTTATTTAATTTTATGTGCATTGGTGTGAGGGTGTCATATCCTTTGGAACTGGAGTTACAGACAGTTGTGAGCTACCATGTGGGTGTGGGGAATTGAACCCGGGTCTTCTGGAAGAGCAGCCAGTGCTTTTAACCACTGAGCCGTCTTTCCAGCCCCAACCATAGCAACTCTTATAGAGGAAAACCTCTACTTGGGGCTGGCTTACAGGTCAGAGGTTTAGTCCATTATCGTCATGGTGGGAAGCATGGCAGCCTGCAGGCAGGCATAGTGCTGGAGAGGTACCTGAGAGTTCTACATCTTGATTTACTGCAGTAGGAAGAGAACTGTGTCCTGGGTGTAGCTTGAATATATATGAGACCTCAAAGCCTGCCTCCACAGTGACACATTCCTTCCAACAAGGACATACCATCGTCAACAAGACTATGTCTCCTAATAGTGCCACCCCCTATGGCCAAGCACTCAAACACATGAGTTTATGGGGGTCATACCTATTCAAATGACCACAAAAGCTAGGTCAGTCTGACAGACAGTTCTGCCAGTTCTATGTGAGATACACTGAGACAGTTACTCCAGGCTGGGTGTTGCTATAAGGAAGAGTGCCTGGGGAAGCGGGCCCACCTGAGTAGTCCTTGATGCTGTGGGAGGGAACTGAATTCTCTGTTGAAATTTCTTTCCTGACGTGAAATGTCACAGTCAGATGAAATGTGACTATAGTGTATATAGTTATATATGTAATATAATATGCTATGTTGACATCATCATATCAAGCTGTTTTAGGCTTTGTTTAGCCAAACAAAGTGGCTGAAGACTCGGCACCCAGTTGTTTTATCATGAAAGGTAGATCAGTACACTGCCCCTCCCGTACTTGTTAGATAGACTGGCTCATTTCATTTGTGCTTATGTTGCTAGTAGATGGACCACTTGGTGCACAGCTGCCGTGGGTCAGGAGATCAGCCCGCTCATCTTGTTTCTCTTTCTGTAGGAATTTTGGTGAACATTACCACACTTTGTGTAAGGCCGTGAATCACCTAGCAACTGTTGACTGCATTTTCTCTCTGGCCAAGGTCGCTAAGCAAGGCAATTACTGCAGGTAATAGAGTTTTTCATTTCCGCCAGTTAGCAAGGTTTCAGGTCCATTGGGTGTATCCCATTAATCTGACAATTACTGTTATAAAATATTGCAGTTGTTTAGATGTGTTACACTCTTGTTAAATCCAGATATCACACATCTCTTAGTTTGAAAAACCAACTCTTTCCTCCTTGTTTTATGACTGAGTCAAATGCAGATGACTGGAGTACTCTAGAAGTAAATGTTACACTTGAGCTTTTAAGTTTATGTACAGTTTTAAAATGAAGTTTGAGGACTCTTTTTGCTCTGGGAAACTTTATAGCATATTTCACCTTAATTTTAAAAACTACAGTTATAAAAGCTTGTGTATGAACAAGGGACTGGGAAGAGAGAGATCCTGTCTCGGGTTTCTGTGAGCTTTCCTGATCCCCCCCTCTCCCCCCCGTTGAGAGCTGGATTCATGCCACCGTTCTTCATTGGCCTCTGAACATCCCAGCATTCCTCATTTTCCTTTTCATAAAGGACGCTAGAATCTAATAGATCTAACTTTAAATAACTCTAATTGTAGTATATTATCTTTTCAATAAGTTGTTGTTTTTCAAAAGCATTTGTAAATGAAGCTACATATCTCAGAAAAATTAAGAGACTATTCAGCTGGCTGGCTTATTGTGAGGACTAAAAGAAAAGCCTGGGAGACTGCTCCCTGGCTGGACCTGTGGCCTGAAGTTCCTAGTGGACAGTCTGGCTTTCCTTACTTCTGTCATATCTTGGTTTCTTCTTTGTGTTGTGTCAAGTTTTTCAAACATATCTGCAAGTGTCCTGTGATCTGCAATACATAGAGGTTACTAGAGCAGGGTTGTTTAGTGTACAGTGTTTCTTTGTGAGAGACAGTTGGGTGCTTGAGTATATAAGCTATGTTCTCTAATTGAAGTATATTATTTTATTTTACTGCCCACTTGTAAAGAATACATCTACGTTATTGGTCACACAGTCATGTTTAAAATAGATTCTTTGCGTCTCAGTTGTTACCTAGCTCTTTCTCATACCAAAGGGATTCCAGACTTACACAGTGTTGCCTTGTCAGTTACCTGTAAACACTGTGTAGCTGAATCTTCACTGTAGTGAACACGGAAGATTTATATCCTACTTATCATGTATTATTATGAAAACTTAGCATCTGCAGTCCCTTATCCCTTTGTGGCGTCAGTAGTGAAGTGAGCTTTTCCTGATGGTCTGTTTCTGAACGACTTGGAGACATTTAGTGTCTGTTTATGCAAGCTCTTCCCATTTCAAACCGAGTGTGCCCTCTTACCCCCTCATCCCTCTTTAAGACACCTTCAGGTATTTGCTGCGACTGGAACTGCCATCATGAAAAAAGGACACAGAGATGGTTATGAGGTTTGGCCCATTGCACCAAGTTAAGATTGTCATCAGAGTGTAAGATGGACATACTGTTTTTCCTCTGTTAAACCTTGTGCAGTTTCTCTGGATATGAGTAGGCACAGTTAAGTTAAAGTCTTTGTCAGTTTGGGTATCGGAAGCTCTGGTAGACCTGTTTGTGTTGTGTGTCATTCCTGCTCATTTTTATAAGTCTTCTTGACTGCTGGTGAATTTTTTTATTAAATGTTTTCATTTATTTTTATATACTAACCACAGTTTCCCTCCCTCCTCTCTTCCTGTTCCCTCCCCTCACCTCCCATCTATCCTCCCCATCTACTCCCCGTCTCCTCAGAAAGGGGCAGGCCTCCCATGGGCGTCAACAAAGCATGGCATATCACATTGAGGCAGGACCAAGCTCCTCCCTCTGCATCAAGGCTGGGGGAGGCATTCCTGCATGGGGAAGAGGTTCCAAAATGCCAGCACATATGCCGGGGACAGGTCCTGATCCCACTGCTAGGGGTGCCACAAACAGACCAAGCTACACAACTGTCACCACATGCAGAGGCCCTAGGTAGGTCCCGTGCAGGCTTCCTAGCTGTCGGTCAGTGAACTCCTGTTAGCTCAGGTCAGCTTTCTCTGTCGGTTTCCCCTTCATGATCTTGACCCCCTTGCTCATAGAATCCCTCCTCCCTCTCTTCAACTAGACTCTGGGAGCTCTGCCCAGTGCTTGGCTGTGGATCTCTGCCTCTGCTTCCATTAGTTACTGGATGAAGGATCTCTGTTAACAATTGGGGTAGTCAACAATCTGATTATAGGAGAAGGCGAGTTCAGGCACCCTTTCCATTATTGCTAGAAGTCTTAGCTGGGGTCATCCTTGTGCATTCCTGGGAATTTCCCTAGCCCCAGGTTTCTCCCTAATCCCCAAGTTATCTCTTTCATACTCTCCCACTTCATCCCACCCCCAACTTGACCAACCCAATCCCTCATGTTCCCATCCCCTCATCCCCTCCCCTCCACCCCGCCCACACCCCCAATTTACCAGGGAGATCTCATTTATTTCCCCTTCCCAGGAAAATCTGTGTGTCCCTCTTAAGGTCCTCTTTGTTAGCTAGCTTCTCTGGGGATGGGAATTGTATGTAGCCTGGTTATCCTTTCTTTGCTTTACATCTAATATCCACTTACGAGTGAGTACATACCATTTGTCTTTCTGGGTCTGGGTTACCTCAGTCAGGATGATTTTTTCTAGTTCTATCCATTTGCCTGCAAATTTCATGATGTCATTGTTTTTTACTGCTGAGTAATACTCCAAAATGTATCATATTTTCTTTATCTATTCTTTGGTTGAGTGACATCTAGGTTGTTTCCAGGTTCTAGCTATTACGAATAATGCTGCTATGAACATATTTGAACAAATGTCCTTGTGGTATGTTTGAGCATCCTTTGGATATGTGCCCAAGATTGGTATAGCTGGGTCTTGAGGTAGATTGATTCCCAATTTTCTAAGAAACCATCATACCAATTTCCAAAGTGCCTATACAAGTTTACACTTTATCTTTAAAATAGACTTAAAAAAAAATAAGGATCCATTAGACCCAGGTGGTAGATGGTAAAAAATATTTTTCTGTGTAATTGTTATTTAAATAAGCTATTGCATTAAAGTTATTGTGGGATGGGGTATTGAAATATGAGTCTGTTTTTCAAATAAAGCACAACCAGTGCAGTATGTCTGTGAGTACAATTGTGCAGATGAAAGCCCAGGAAGGGAGTCACCAAACTGATTCCAGTGTTGACCTCGGAGGATTTGATAAATAGAATAAAGCTGTATTTAAAATATGATTGATTGGGGAGAGGCTCAGTGGTTGGGAACATAGGGTGTTCTTACAGAGGACCTGAGTTCAGTTCCCAGCACCTATCTGGCTGCTCACAACCATCCACAGTTCCCAGGCCCGCACATGGCACACATTCATACACATAAATAAATATAAAAAATTTAAAAACTGATAAGCTAATTTAACCTGGAAATGACTTTCCATGACTAGTGAAATGATGTACCAGTGATCTGAACTGTGTTTAGTGATGCATGTACTGATTTGATCTCAGATAATGATAGACAGATGAAAACCGAAATCAAATAAAAATAAAAAAAAAAGGCTTGCTGAGGCTTGTCCTTCAGTGTGCTGTTATTTCCAGTTGCTGATTTCTGATTAATTGCTGATTAGTTTGACTCTGTTCTCAACTATTATTCTACCATGTGTTCCTGAGGTCTAAGGTTGATTGTCTTCCATATTGAGTACTAAAGCTTCTCATGCTGTGTCAGTCTATGTGGGCTGGCCTCGACCTCACAGAAACCTTCCCAGCTCTGCCTCCCTAGTGCTGAAGTTAAAGGGGTGTCACCATGCCAAGCTAGTCAGTGCTTCTTTTAGAAAGCTGCTTCCATATCTACAAGTTGATAAAACTTATTTTTTTTTCAGGCCAACTCTACAAGAAGAAAAGAAAATCATCATTAAAAATGGAAGGCATCCTATGATTGATGTGTTGCTGGGCGAGCAGGATCAGTTTGTGCCCAACAGTACGAGTTTATCGGTAAGTACCACATGACACCAAAGCCAGTGTATGATAAGGACATTGATTTCAAACTTGTGACTACCAAATGAGTAATTTCGTAAGTTATTTGGTTTTATCTTCAGCTGTAAATGGACCAATCTCAGGCATAATTTTATATTTACTATCAATTGTGGAACTGGTGTACTCCCCATGGAAAATTCTCTGTACATGGAAAGACTTAGCAACTAAAGATGACTATCTTACTTCTTCTGTGTAACCTAGTAAAAGTAATTTATATTCACAAATACGTGAATGATGTTGGAATCGCACAATGTGTTTTCAGATTTCCATTAGCATTCAGCATCAGTGTGCTTTGTCCTACATGACACTATTTCCACATGCTCTGAAAGAATTAGAAGTGATTAGCTGATCTAGGCTGGAGTTCTCTTAAAGAACACCGATGATCCCACATTGTTATTAATTTAACATATACTTAGTTCCTCCATAGAAAAGCAGGATTTCAGAGGTGTTGGTGTTGTGGGTGATGGCAAAGATTCAGGAAGTGGGTAGCAGGGTGGAAATGAGATCATGGAACAAGAGATTGGGAAAGAAAAGTTAGAGAGGGTTGTCTCCTCTAATGTTGTCTAAAATGGCAGTGGGATTTGTTGTGGAAGATGATAGTGATTCAGATATCGGACTTCCAGGAATGGTAAATGAGGTTTGTGGGTGTCTGCAGTGAGAGCAAGCAGCTGTGGGAGAACCCTGAAGAAACAAGAGCTTTCTGAACCCTGAATGGAAAAGTGCAGCAAGCTAGCAGGCAGCCTGTGCATGGTAGAAGCTTCACACAGAGAGGCTAGAAACAAAGCATTAGAGAGTCAGTGGCCGAATTTAGATTGAGGAGAGCAGCCAGAGTGAGGCTCTCACGGAGCTGGGATGATAGCAATAGACCATGGTGGACCACGGAGCAAGGATGTGTGACATGGTCAGTTTGGCCAGCCATGAGTGTGTGGAGTGAGATGAAAAGCTTTGAGTTCCGTTTACTCTAATGTTACATATCAAGCCTTACAGGGTTTGTTGATAGTTTATTGTGGTTGATACATTGTGTATCCTAATAAACTTATCTGAGGGTCAGTGAACAGAACAGCCACTAGATTAGACATAGAGGCCAGACAATGGTAGCACACACACCTTTAATCCTAGCATTCTGGAGGCAGAGATCCGTCTGGATCTCTGTGAGTTCAAATCCATACTGGAAACAGCCAGGCATGGTGACACACACCTTTAATCCCAGGAAGTGATAGCAGGAAGTAGGTATATATATAAGGCTGAGGACCAGGAACTAGAGCCTTGTTAAGTTTTTAGATTTTAACAGCAGTTCAGCTCAGATCCATTCAGATGAGAACTCAGAGGCTTCCAGTCTGAGGAAACAAGATCAGCTGAGGAACTGGCAAGGTGAGGTTGGATGTAGCTTGTTCTCTTTCTCTGATCTGGCTCCGGGTTTGTTTTTATTAATAAGACCTTTTAAGATTCGTGCTACAGTTTATAATCTGTATGTTGGGCTTGTTCAGACTGTTACAGTAAAGTCCCATAGACTGGGTGACTTCCAGTCAACAGAAACTGTCTTTCAGGATTCTGGAGACTGTGAACTTAGATGATGGTGTCAGTGCCCTGTGGGAGCTGGTTTAGTGCTTTATGTGTGGCACCTTTCGCTGTGTTCTCACGTGGAGGGAGAAGGGGAGGTCCCTGCTGATCCCTGTATATTAATCACTTCCTCAAAGCCCTGCGGTACTGTCATTGTGGGAAGGAGAGGCGTAGACACTGAGACCAGAGCGACCAGGGACGCAATGTCTGGAAACTTGTTCATTCTTACTAACAAATGCGTATGCTAGCAATTTGTCAGATGAGTTACAGATACTAATTTTTGTTGTCTTTAAGGAGAAACCTAAATGAGAATAAGAACTCTCTTGTTAGTTTCCATTTTGGTAGTATAGCTTCTCTAGAGAAATAATACAGTTCTAATATTTAGTAGCTTGACTTATGTTTAACTGATAAGCCACTCATGAAACATGTTCTGATACTGCCCATGCCCATCCCCTTGATCCAAGAAAGTTGTCCTTGGCATTGATGTTTTCTTTGTTCATTCTCTTTTATTTTTTTCTTTTCTTTTCATTTTCCTCTTTTTTCAACAAAACAGAATGTTGTTAATAAGTCAGATTTGAACAAGTACAATAGCCTTCTAGTTACAGGAGCATTTAAAAAATCATTAACTCATGTATTTCAATTTTTACAAAATAAACGGAGTGGTTTTTTTTCTAGTAGGCAGCTTAGAGTGTTCCAGAATATTCATTTCTTTTACATATGCTCTTCCTAACTTGAGTAGGAGTTGATATAGACTGTTGCTATGGTGAACTGCATTCTGTTTTTCAGGGTATAAATTTATATACGGGGATAGTGTAGAGAAAGAACTTACTATGTAAAATTCCATCTAAAATGTACTCTGCCTATTAATTTATAAACTATACCCTGACAGAAATGTCCTCAAAGTTAGGTAACATTGTTACTTCTGATAATTACATAGTTTTGAAAATTTGCCTTTCATACATCTAAATTTTGCTAGCTTTCCTGGGTTCTATATTATGTAAAATCATTAAAGTTCTCACGAGCAAAGGAACCATGTGCTCATTTCCCTCTCCCAGTTTCAGGAATCTTCTGAAGATTCCTTCAGTCTCTGCCTCTCCGTCCTGCCCCCACCCCATTTCCTTTCCTCTCGTAGCCCCTTCTAACTTGCCGTTCCACACTCCCATCTGAGTTCATCTGTGCACTCCAGCAGTTTGGGACCTCTCACAGTCCTCCATGCCTTTGGCAGGTGGTGGTCCCTCTGCCTGGAATGTCATCCCTCCCCATCTCGCCCTCCCCATCTTACCCTCCCACCTCCTGCACGCCCGCAGCCCACTCCGCCATTTCAAGCTCTGCTCTTCCCCCTTCTAGATGTCTCCTGGCTTGAAGCCTTCCCTCACCAGCGCTCTGATGATCCACACCCCACACGCAGCACTCGGTGTTTCTCCCCATCTCTGTACTTACCCCACTAAGCCACAATTGTTCTTTCCGATGTGCTTCCAAAGGGTTTGGGCTTGACGAGGACAGGGAGTGTGCTGCCTGTGTAGGTGTGACACCAGTGTCCATGTCCTCTGACGCATGGTAGGCTCCTCCTCACATTTGTTAACTGAGACACCTTCAGCAGTCTCCAAGTCTCACTTTAAAGTTTTGTGCCTTTTTCTTCCAGAAAATGTTGCTTTTTCAGGATCTGGGATTTCACAGTTTGCAGAATATTACACTGAAGACATAGAAGAGAAACAGGAGCTGCTGTAGTGTAACACCTCTTCACACTTGGGATAAACTCATTCCCAGAACGGGGAAGTCATGTAGAGGCTGCCCCAGTTGAATCTTAGACAATTTCTGGAACATGGGCGTAGCCCAGGGCAAGGGCTGCTTTTTCAGCCATGCTCACTGCCGGGAACACACAGGAAATGATACCACTTTGAGAGTCCTTGAACTCAAAAGAGAAGGGAGAGGATGTGGGCCCGAGGGCTGTGGCTGTCCCAGCCCCATCCATCACCTTGAAGGTTAAGGAGTCGCCCTGTACAAAACCAGGACACCCTGCTTGGAGCAGTCCATAATATGTCATGACAGTTTAGCTGTCCTGTGACTGTCTGCTTATTAAGCCAAAAGGCTATCTGGTAGATGGGCTTTTGAAAACAATTAGAGTTGTTCTTGTATTCTGGTTTTGAGATAAGTAATCTAAATCCGACTGTGTGACTTTAGGGAGTACGGTTGGGTGGGGACGATGAGTCAGGTGTGCAGAGAAGATCTCCAGGAAGCCCCTGAACTATGGATCCCTCCGGCTTGTGGGAAACCCACTGCCTGGGTGCCCTGTTAGTGAGTCCTGGGGTCTAGGTCAGTCAGTGGCCTGAGGCTCTTTAGGACCCAGTACTGACTGTGTCTGGTGTGTAGTAGACACGCACTTCTTTGTCTATGTGAATGTGTGAAGCCGGGAGAGATGACCCATTTCCCAGGCTCCCCTTCTCTCCCAGGACACGTTTTAGATTCCCCAGCAATGCTTGCTTTGGCTGTATACAAGTTAAATATAACATCAGTTGTAGGGATAGTCTGTAGCCATTGATTGTTTATGTCTAATCACCAAGTGGAATGATAATGCCTAACGTAAAATATCCGAGCTTTAAGCTTGGCTTCATTTCCCGGCTAGATTATACAAATATATTTTGTACAAATATGATAGCATTGTATCTGCTATCAATGTGTTTTCCACACAGCATGGTGAGTAGATAAATGAACCCAAGAAAGAAAATGAAGGAGGCCACTTTTAAGATGTATTTTTAATTATGTGTCTGCATGCATGTCTATGTATGGGTATGTGTACATGCGTGCTGGTGCTTGTGGAGGCCAGAAGGGGTCATCAGATCCACTGGAGCTGGAGTTACAGGTGGTCGTGGGGTGCGCCTCTACAAGAGCTGTATGGACACTAGCCACTGGGCCCTGTCTCCAGCCCCAAGGGAAGCGTGAATGGTACTTACCTTGTTTTCTGTGGCTTAGACCCTGTATTCTCCTCTCCAGTTTTAAACACTGAGAAAACATTTGTTTGATACTGACTTGAAAAAGATGTATTTCTTTACTTTCATGTGTATGTGTGTTTCTATGTGGGTGCATGCTGTGTGTATTGGTGCTTTCAGAGGCCAAAAGAGGGCATTGGATCCTGGAGCAGAGTTGTAGGTGGTTGTGGGCCACCTGATGTGGGTGCTGGGTAATGAACTCAGGTCCTCTGGAGGAACAGTAAACCTCTTAACCACCCAGCCATCTCTCCAACTGATACTGACTTTCTTTTCTTAAAAACTCCAGTGCTGGCATCTGCCCAGAATGCTCCTCTCTCTTCCTCTCCCTAACCCATGCCCGTTGATTGAACTCTTGTTCATTCTTCAAGACCCCAAACAAATATTTTCTACTGCATAGAGCCTTCACCATCA